TATGGGATTGAAAGAATTCTCTGACCTACAAATTCTCTTCATTTTTGCCTTTAATATTGGTATATGCAATTCCTTATGGAAGGGACAAAAAGAAGGGAGTAAAGAAATATTACTGCATCTAGTATCTGGCCAGTGAAAACAACAAAATCCCATAGGAGGATGATCCTAGCATAACAGCTGTGTAAAAAACCAAACTTAAAAAACAACAAATGGTCTGGCAGCACTTTATAGACTAACAAAACATGTAGATGGTATCATGAGCTTTCGTGGGCACAGCCCACTTCTTCAGATGACTGGAGTTATGAATTTAGGATGTGCAGACCCAAAATAAATAGGGGAGAAGGAAGAGGAGTGGAAGGAAAAAGAGAAGGGGGCAGGAAACAAGGAGAAAAGGGAATGAAAATATCAAAAGGATATAAATATATCAAAAACCAAAGTCACTGCAAACCCAGCCCTAAGAGCCTAACTATCATGCACATTAAATTCATGGATGACAGCCTCAATTAATGTTCTTTGCAAAGATCTCTGTAAAACACAGACAGCCACTAACTACCACATGCCAGTTAATATGGTGGGTTCTCTGCATGTCAGAACTCCTGTTCTAGATTCTAAAACTAAGTAAAGACAAAACACCTTAAAAAGAAGCTGTCAATTTAAACATTCATGTACCCACACCTGTCTAAAAATATTTTACCTACTACAAGCAATAGCTAAGGAAAAGATAACAGCAAAATGAACAAATTATCCGTTTTTGTAATCTAATTATCTTCTGTAGTGGACAGTCACTTTCAATATAGTCAGGTTCACTGATTGCCCTGTACATTCAGTCAGTATTCCCCTCTTCCAGGGATATTTGGGTATGTCTACACTGCCACCCTAGTTCGAACTAGGGTGGCTAAGGTAGGCAATCGAAGTTGCAAATGAAGCCCGGGATTTAAATATCCCGGGCTTCATTTGCATCTTGCCGGGTGCTGCCATTTTTAAATCCTCGTTAGCCTAATTCGAACTACCTACTCCGTGCCGTGTGTAGCCGCGGGCACGGAGTCCGCACTAACGGGGATTTAAAAATGGCAGCACCCGGCAAGATGCAAATGAAGCCCGGGATTTAAATATCCCGGGCTTCATTTGCAACTTCGATTGCCTACCTTAGCCACCCTAGTTCGAACTAGGGTGACAGTGTAGACATACCCTTTTATACTAGTACCTTGCAGGTTTGAGCTGGAAATACAACTGGAGAATGCTTTTCTTTTTAAATTTCCAAGAGGTTGCACGGAAACACTTATCAGGGTTTTGTGAAGCCTTCTTTTTATAGAATCTAGTTTGGGGCCTGAATTGACCAACCATATTCATTTCACCATGGAAATATAAATTTCTTTGGCAATTTTGTTGCTGGCAGAAGTACATAAAAATAGACCCCCATTGTTCTTTTTGCAGCACCTAGTCTTCATTTGGAAAGAGCTTGTGGAAGAATTATTTTCATTGTACTTTCAACTTCTTCATTACTCTGACAAAAAAGAAGCAAATCAGTGTCTTACACAAGGCTTTTTTAAACAGATTTCCTTGCCTCGGGAAGGTCACCTCATAACCGCTAGTGCCAAGTAATGGGATCAACAGGAATCCTGTGGACACTCAGCACACCCTATGAGTGAGATAGATAGGTAGAGTAGTTAATGTTCAGTAACTTTCTCATGATCACACAAGTCAGTAGCAGAGCCAAAATCAGAACCCAGGGATCCTGACGCCCACGCTTGTGTCCAGACTAGGGATTTTAAATATCGGTTAATTGAATAGTCAAGTAACCTCATGAATTCTTATTAGTTACTTGACTATTCTACAGTTCCTGGGGGTGGGGCGGGGCAGGCAGGCAGCCAGTGTGCTCGGGCCCCACTCCCAAGGAGCCTCCTGCCACTACGTGTTGCTGTCTCTGTATCAGAGGCAGCAGCATGGAGTGCCAGGTGGAGCTGGTCCATGAGGGAGATGCTGCCTGTCACCCCATGCTGCTGTCTCTGATACAGTTCTGGTGCTGTTAGAACTGAGGCAGGCTGCCTGCCTGCCTGGCTCCTAATGCACTTTAAATGCAGAGCCACAGAGGGGTAGGTCCTGGACCCAGCACAAGCAAGGACCGAGCCAGGCTGCTGGCCAGCCTGCTAAAAATTTACTGACAAGTGCAGAGGGGGGAATGCGTGTAGTCTATAGCATTAACCTATATGCTTTTTCTTATCGGTTAACCAGTTAATCGGCTACACTATTACATCTCTAGTCCAGACCACACTTCATCTAAGGGAAAGTTTCGTTTTAGTTTGGGACTCTAAAAATATTACCAGTGGGTGGATTTGGGAAGTAAACAATTTTAAATAAAGATGTTATTTTATTTGCAAAAATCCCAAAGATAAACCCAGAGGCACAACATGCAGAAAGATTCTGTGACCTTGCTGACAAACTCAAATAGACCATCACTCCATCAGACTTTTCCTTTCCCACCAATACTATCAGCATCTGACATTAATTTGCAAACTAGCATCTCTCCCTGGACATTAACTTGCAAGGTGTCTCTCATTTGAACCAAACATACCCACACACACTTCTTTGGCACAAACTTCCCAACCTTCCACAGCCACTGGCCATTAATAGCAGGTCAAAGTTCAATATGACGCGTCTGTTGTTTGGATAAGAGCCCCTCTTCCTGTCCCCGAGCTGAGACACAGCAGTAAATGTGCTGTTTTAACTGCAGTTGTACTTTTAACTGTGTGTCACCTTGAGCACTTTGGGTGTGGCTGCTTTGTAAATTTAATGATTAAAACCTAAGATTGCTCAGATGCAATGCTGGAAAGAGACAGCAGAAGCAGCAGGGCAGACAGACTCTTGAAAATTAGGCATTTGCTCCTTTCCAGATGCCTTTCCAAAAAAAGGGGGGGATATTTGGGAATTATTACCTTATTGAAATAAATCTGGTCTATATTCATACAGTAAAGAAAAGAAGATACAATTTCATAAAGCTACAGTTGATACAACCATCATAAACTCCAGCATTTACCAACATAGGGAGATGCAGAAATGAACACTGTCACGGAAACTCCAGTATAGATGCTACTTTGTACAGAAACAAACCGTCATAAAAAACTTCCCATGGGTATCAGCATACTATCAAACTACATACTAGCATACTAGCATACTACTGTTTAGACCATCAAATAAAAGAAATGACCTGCACTTTACAGTGAAAGTTCTCCCCACCCTCTTTAACAGCCAATACACATTAACCAGGAGAACCTAGGTAACAGTCAAAATAAAATTACATCCAATGTTATACCTACACAAATCTCTATGGTTAAGATTCTTTCCACTCCTGCTGGATTCCAATTAAACACCTATATGGAATTTTATCTCCTCTAGTTATTATTACAAGATTATCTGAGATGCAAAGCTACAGCCCTGTTCACCTAGCCATTTTCTTTCTTTTCAAACCATTTTAACACCTTTTTCAAAACAATATGTAAACACTATTCTTGATAGAAAGGGAATAACCCTGCTTGAAAACTAAACACAACCTGGTTGTACCCCAAGGATAATGCCTTAAGAATGATGGCTATCAGCGCAAAGACTCCCTACAACTTCAACCCATCATCTGAGAAAAATACATGGTAGCAGAGAAATAAGATAAAATGCTTTCCCTCTACCATAGCTTCCAGCTCATAGCATTTAAATTTCCCTCATAAACAGTATTGAAAAATGCTCAGAGGCCCTTTCCTCATCACTAGCACCATACCAAATGTTTTTTAAAATACATGACTGAACAGGGGGAGGAACTAGTCATGAGAATTTTGTCCTGTTCGCTAGACTGGATTTAAACAGAGCAATTAGTTGGACACAAATCTCATGACTAGTTCTCAAGCTGCTCTATAACCTCTTACTGCAGAGGGTGGCATTCCACACACTCAGTTTTGTATTCACTATTTTTAGCACTTCCCCTCTCTTGACACTTTTATCTTGGGAGGGGGGCACCTTAATTCCTTCAAAAGCAGAGAGGGTAAATTAGGAGACGTTTCATCAAAGCAGGACTGTTCCTTTAAGGGGCCGTGTAATAGGATGAGCGTCAGCATGCAGGAGAAGCTGGAAATAACCTGCACACGATACAACCTTCCAGCTCAGAACTCACGCTGTTTGTCACACAGTCACTCAGAACGCACAGAGCAAAAGAAACAGAGAGCGCAGTAGAAACAAAGGGCTAAATCCATGAAAGACCAAACTTCAGAGAGGAAAAAGGAGGCTGCATGTGCAGCCGAAAGGAAGGGGCCCTTTGGGAAACCATGATCAAGGGAGCGGGGCTCCTTTCCTGTGGCTTTGTGAAGTGCCTGACCCCACTGCTGCAGCATGATCTGCTCGGAAAGTTGCTCAATGATCTTCAGGAATCCCAGGGCTCTCTGCAGACCCTCCCTAGCCCGTCTCCGGGACAGGGGAAAGAAGGATGGGGCGAGGACACAGCAGACAAAGCCCCACTGGGGAGAAGGCGACGAGGTTGCCCAGGTATCTTATCCTGCAGGATGCCTGCAGTGCCAGAGCGAGGCAAACTCAAGCCATCTCCAGCCACTACTATGCCAGCAGAGCCCGCTCTGCGCCCCAGCGCCGCTCCCCGCCCCTGGAGATGTTGTACCCCAGGCAGGTGCGGGTACCTGGCACAGCGCTTTTGCGAGGGGCTCACCCTGCGCTCGGGAGGGAAAGGGGCCCCAGAATACGAGCAGCTGCTGAGGGTTCCAGGCATCAGGGGAAGGAGCAGCTGCTGCCCCCGGGTCTCAGCCGGGCGAGACACAACCCACTGCAGCCCGAGAAGCTGGGCACTGGGATCCTGCACCTGCGCTGCCCCGCCAGGGGAGCCCCACACCCCGACAGCGCCAGAGGATCGCGCCTGCCCTCCCCCTCCCCGCCAGGGGCCTTGAGCGCACGGCGGTGCTGGGGAAGGGGGGCTGCCCGGCGAAGAGGCGATCCCGGAGCAAGCGCTTTACCTCGGGCGCAGAGCAGGGCTCCCAGCAACAGCGGCAGGAAGGAGCCCCAGAGCAGCCTCATGCTGGCGGCCCCCGCCGCAGCTCCAGCCCTGCCCCGGGCTCTGGCGGGGGGAGGCAGAAAGTTCTCCGGGTCGCTCCGCAACAACCGCTGCTCCTCCTGAGCGCTCACTGCAGCCCAGGCCGGCCGAGCCCCGCGGGGACCGCGCATCAGAGCTGGGGTGGCTCAGTGGCTCGGTCCCGGCTGCATTCGCTCGTGCAGCTTCCTCCGGCGCCACCGCAGCCGAGGGAGTCCAGGGCTGGGGGCTCGCAGGCTCCCGGCTCAGCCCGCCCCCGGCCCAGGCCCTGCCCCCAGAGGCGGAGCCCGGCCAGGGCAGCCCCAATCAGAGCCCCAGAGCTGCCGCAGTCGGGAAACTTCATAAACTTTCCGAGTCCCCCAGGCACCAGCGAACCCGCGGCAGCCCCACCACCCTGTCTCCAGCCTCCCTCCAGCCCCCCAGGAAATGGCGCTGGGGCCGCACCAGCCTCCATCCAAGGCGGGCTCCGGTGTCTCACCCTCCACGTGCGGCCACCGCCAGCATGCCTAGCAGCAGCCTGTTTCCAGCCCAAAGGCAGCTCCTCTCTTCCCACTGGGGCACTTCCCAGCTAGTCCTATTGCCAGCACCAGAGTAGCGGGCTTAGTCTCCAAGACACTCCCCACTACACTGGGGGCAGTCTCCATCCACCCCCATCCTTACAGGGAAGCTCCCAAGTCTCCCCTGCTAAGCCCCATTCCTTAATCCTCATTTCCTCCACCCTTCTGGAGTATCTCCAGTCCCCCACAGATCTCTGGCTAACTAGTTGATTCCTCTTCTCTTTAGTCCTCCAACAGTGCATCCCTCAGGGCACTTCCCATCCTCCAGAGCACTAAGCCCTCTCCATGGTGTGTACTCTGCAGCCCATCCTATTAGATCTTCAACAGAACATCTCTAGATATCACCATCTCTCAGAGACCTATCTATCAGGACAATATGCCAATGCTTTGATATTTCTGCATAGTTTATACTATAGTACTCTTGAATGTTTTATCTGGTCTGTCTTGCAAAATCCTGCACTGTTTCTCTCTGATTTTCCCCTTCTGCATCTCACCAAGTTTTGTGTCATATATAGGGTGAATACTCCTCTCCATCCCTTCCAAAACCCATTTCCCAGTGCATACTTCAGCGTCCTCATTGGAAATGTGTTTCAGGAAACTTAAAAAACAATGAATGATCCTGCAGCACCTTAGAGACTAACAAAAAATGTAGATTAGTGATAGAAATGTAGCCGTGTTAGTCTGGTGTAGCTGAAGCAAAAAACAGGACTATGTAGCACTTTAAAGACTAACAAGATGGTTTATTAGGTGATGGTTTATTAGGTGACGCACTTCTTCAGATCAAATAGTGGAAGAAAATTGGCACAACCATATATACCAAAGGATACAATCAAAAAAATGAACACATATGAAAAGGACAAATCAAATTTCAGAACAGAAGGGGTATGGGGGGGAGGTAAAAGTCTGTGAGCTAATGATATTAGAGGTGATAATTAGGGAAGCTATTTTTGTAATGGGTAAGATAATTAGTATCCTTGTTAAGACCTAGGTGTAAAGTGTCAAATTTAAGCATGAATGACAGTTCAGAGAATTCTTTCAAGTCTGGTGTTAAAATGTCTTTGAAGCAGGATGCAGGTAGTTAAGTCGTTGAGACAATGCCCTTTCTGGTTGAAATGGCAAGAAACTGTTTTTTCTTTGTGATCCTGTCTAATATCTGTTTTGTGGGCATTGATTCTTTGGCGAAGTGTCTGAGATGTTTGTCCAATGTACATAGCAGATGGACACTTTCAGCATATGATAGCATAAATTATATTTCTGGATGAGCAGGAATATGTGTTCTTGATCTTATAACTCAATTGGTTAGGTCCAATAATGGTATCAGCAGAGTGAATATGTGGACAAAGCTGGCAACGGGGTTTGTTTCAAGACATTCCAATAAATTTCAAGAAATTCACTGTTGCCAAATGTCATTTTTTTGTGAGTCTCATGCTATTCAGAGGTTTTTTTAGAGCTCTGAGTCCTAGAGACAACTGAGGTGATAATCCTAACTTAATTCAAATTAAATAAATATGTTTCTATCCTTCACAGTTGTGGAGGAACACTTAAAAATCTGATCCAAGTGCCCACTGAAGACCCAAAACACAGAAGGCAAATCAACTTTTTAAAACTCAATGTTTAAGCAAATCTCATGATTTTGGGGCCTGACTCTGGATTTTTAAACACTTGAGATTGGCAATACAAGAAACTTTGATTTTTTTTTTTTAACTAATCTCAGTTGGCTTTAAGATACTAATATGAATTAATAACTGGCTAAGAGACCCTTAAAAAAGGGTCTGAACATCAGGCTCAGATATGGTCTGAAAAAGGGTCTGAACATCAGGCTCAGATGAGAGTTATGTCAAGTTAATACCACTGGGTCAGTGGTCTGAATGGTCTTATTTAACATCTTCAACTTAATTAATATGAATTGAGGGGTGCTGTAGATTCTCAACTCCTTTAAGGATCAAGACTTAATCTCCCAGAGTGAGTAACCAGCACACTAGTGAAATGTGCCAATTACACTAAATTAGAAGGAACTGGAGGGAAAACAGCAAGGAGAAAGAATGTTATTAGAAAATTGGTCAGAAAGAATAAAAATAGAAAATTTTTGCTCAAATTAAGCTAATGCATCTAGAAAGACTTAATCTGAAACAGATCCTCAATAGATGAGGGAAGACTGAAAAGAACTGGGTTTGTTTAGTTTGGAAAAGAGAAGACTGAGGCTATGTCTGTACTGCAAGGCTTTTCCGCATGAGGGAAATGCAAATGGAATACTCATTTGCAGGGCTCGACAATTAGTGTAATCTACTCGCTCGTGGCGAGTAGATTACAAGCTGACACAGCCGCGCAGCACGGTCAGCGCATGCGCAGTGTGGTCTGTGCATGCTCAATGTGCCGAACCGTGCGGCTGGCGAGCAGGGCTCGCCGCCGCTTGGCAAGCCCAGCTCATTTGCATTTGTCGCACTCGCATTTGCATTTCGTCTTCGGATCCCTTTTGCATAAGAGGTTCTTGCACAAAAAGGAGATGTGCAGCCCTTTTGCGCAAGAGCCGTTCTTCCTGAAAAAATGAGGAAGAATGGCTCTTGTGCAAAAGGGGGGTTTTGCGCAAAAACAAGCTGTCTACACAGCACTTTTTTGAGCAAGAACCTCTTGCGTAAAAGGGATCCAAAGAGGAAATGCAAATATGAGCGCAACATAAGCAAATAAGTGCTTCATTTGCATTTCCTCTTGCAGAAAAGCCTTGCAGTATAGACGTAGCCTGAGAGGGGACTTCATGGCAGCATTCAAATACCTGAAAGGGTGTTCCAAAGAGGAGGGAGAAAATACATTCTCTTTAACCTCTGATGATAGAACAAGAAGCAATGGTCTTAAATTGCAGCAAGAGGGGTTTCAGTTGGACATTAGGCCCTGGTCTATATTAGGAAGTTATTTCAAAATAACCCCCCTTATTTTGAAATAATAAATGGAGTGTCTATGCTACCAAGACTGTTATTTTGAAATAACAGGCTGGTTATTTCGAAATAATAACTCCTGCTTTCCTCAGGGAATAATGCTTATTTTGAAATAGTTATTTCGAAATAGTGTTAGTTTGGATGCTCAGGTGCTGCTATTTCGAAATAACTATTCCCCAGAGTAATTTGAAGTAATTACTTCCCAGCACTTCCTGGGGCTCTAAGTCGAGGTAGCGCATCTGCAATAACGGAGTCTGTCTCAGACTAATTTTGAGGCTCCCACATAGTGGGGGCACGCTGTTTCAATTTTGTTATTTCTGGAGTTATTTCAAATTTAGTTATTTTGAAATAATTTCCTAGTGTAGATATGCCCTAGGAAAAACTTTGTCAGGATGGCTAAGCACTGGAATAAATTATCTAGGAAAGTTGTGGAATCTTCATCACTGGAGATACTTAAAAACAGGTTGCTTAAACATCTAAATGCTGCTTGATCTTGCTGTGAGGACGGGGGACTGCACTTGATGACCTCTTGAGGTCCCTTCCAGTTCTAGTATTCTGTGATTCTATGATTCTATAGAGAATTCATTGTGTCAATAATTAAGACTGGATGCATTGGGAAATAAAACACAATCCAGCTAGAAAAAAAAAACAGCTACTGACTGTGTTAGAAATTAGCATCAGACTTTACAAAGTTACCTTCAATTCCTGCTCTCTGTTGGGAAGGTTGGAATCAAGAGGATAAGCTCCTGTGCTTGGGAAGAAAGGACAAAGGCATAAACAGGTAAGGCCACTGCCAGAGAAATGAAGGCTCCATGGAAAACACATAGTCAAATGAATAAGAATTTTACAGAGAAATATTATGAGAAGAAAGAAGAGCTGGAGTAGTTTGTGTTTTGTTTTATCTGTCAAAGTATTTTTAGAGATCCCACCATAGGATATGTGCACACACCTTCCCCAAGATGTTAATAAATATGTTGTTTACATGTAACTAATTAGAAAGACTTAGGAAATCTTGCATTGTGACTGGTCAAAAGCAGTTCCTCAGTGAGTGGAGCACTGATTAACTGGTAAGGCCTATATTCTGTGAGGAAAGAAACAAGTTCTTCCCACAGGGCAGCTGGATCAAGAAAGTGCTCTGGCTCTTGACCAGTCACAATGCAAGATTACTTGCATTACCTTTATTACCATTGTTATTTAGAATTGCTGCATTGCTACAACATGCATTTCAGTTCCCCTGCCTGTAACATGTCTAGTGATCCAAACAGATTATATCTTGAGTGCCTGAGGGTTTTGGAACTAAAGAGCCACGGCTCTAATTCCATATCTTCAGGAGTATGTGGAATTTATAAGACTTTGGCATCTTCATGTGAATATTTTATAGTCAATTCTCCTCTTCCCTTGATTGCTTTCCCTGGAGTTTTCTAACTTTTTTTTTTTAAACTTTACCCAGATGTGCTTTTGGATGTCAATTAAACTCTACAGCTCTCCTGTATACTGCTTTCAGCCATCACTACTATATTTTACACTGCAGCTCTGTAATGCCAAACATATTTAGTGTATTTATTCAGAGCCTGAGCTACAATAAATCTTGTAGACATAGCTTTGTAGCTTAATACCAAATGATATAATTATTCTTAATTAACACCTGTTATTGTATGGAAAGATGTGGTTTGGGCCAGCCTGTCAGCTCACTCACCTATGGTCCCCATGAATGAAGAACTAAAACAGATTGAGTATGTCTCCACTACACCCTAAGATCAAAATAAGCTCCACCAT